TTACAATAGATATACGAACTTTGTGTAAGTTGCCTGTAACAGCCACGACTGGTTCAGCGTCGTCTTGCTAATAACGAAGGCAGACTGGTGTCTAGATTTGCATCAAGAAGCAAATCTGCTTGGTAGAAACCGGAATTTTAAGATTCGTGAAAGCAAAGAATGCGTGTGGATCATTTTGTCATGCTTCTGGAAAGTGATTATCTCCACTGGTGTTGTTTATTTATCGTCATTTGAAATTAGCAGAGCATATGCAAAAGCGAGTATTCAAGATTTATGATGTCTTCCTGTTAGAAATATGGTAATTCAAATTGATGTTCGGCAAAGAAATTAGGCAACCTTCTATACATAGTTCGTAAAGATGGCCTCAGAAAACTGCGACTCACGCAATGAAAGGCACAGAAATCGTTTGAGGAAACATTCAACTCTGACAACTGATACATTAACGTTCTAAACCGCGAGGAAGGCATCCTAGTGAGATTGTCGTAATCGTTTATGATCTCTTAAACTACAGTCTTTGTAAATCATAAAGATGCTCAGGAAATGCATCCTGCCACGGAAAGTAGTATCGCAGTGCCCTAGATCATAGCAGGGGTTACATAGCTGAAAAGTGACAAAGCTGCTGACCGAGGCGAAATCTGCATGAGTTATTAACGCGCGAAACTGATCTACAACACATAATGTACCCTGCAGTCGGATCCAGCGCAAGGTCCTTCGGTTTGTCAAATTCCCCAGCCAGTAGAGTCTTACAGGCATTTAGCGCTGCGTTACAGACGAAGAGACGATCGAAGGAGTCGTCCAGAAAATACCAGTTGCCGCTTATCCAATCTTTTGCGATTTGCTCGACTCCTGCACATCAACGATTATATACGTTGGCAAAACAGGAACAAACACACAACACCGTCAGCGTTGAACTCGATTTCGTAGGACCACGTTGAGTTCTTAGTAAAGTCGTCAATCGAAGCACACTGCAAGATTCGCTTCTCAAACTTCGGCTCTTTCCCTGTCATTACCAGCTGTGAACAGACAGAGAAACGTAACAACCACAAAAAGCGCCGTAAATCAACATGAATAGGTACCCAGCAAACTGATCGGTTGTAATGGTCAAAATCCATGGCATTCACATTCCTGCCTTCTATCCGTCCGGATACCGACGAGAAGTTCAAGTTAAGGTGAAGAACGGCAGCCCCATTGGTCAGCAGTATTGTGGCAGGTTCTTCGGCTGGCACTGAAACGTCAATGTCATTCGAACACTTATACAAAACATGGTCGGGTTAAATCGCTAATCATTATGTTGCAGAAAGTAAGCAATCTGTGGTGAATTCCAAGCCGCAACTCGTTTCATGAAACGGAAAAATCAGCAAAACAACCTCTCTGAATTCACCTTAAGTCTTATATTTTACTGCATCGCGATTACATAAAAGCTAAATTACTTAATGTATAAGAAAAGGTGACAATGAATTAAGTGCGCTATACTCTTAGCAAGCATAAGCAATGAAAAGAAATGATAAACGCACAGAATAACAATACGATCACAAAACGTAAGGTAACACCACAAAAATGATAAACGCACAGAATAACAATACAATCACAAAATGTAAGGTAACACCACAAAAATTCTGCATACTGAACATGTTTCACCACTGCCATCAAATAATCACAGTAACTCAGAGAAACGACAGATACGGGGATCAGACATTCGAAACTGCTCCATCCAAAATAGGTATCAACATAACGGTATTTGCCTGATAATATTCACTGGAAGTACGGTAATTTTTTTCAGCTGATGAATGCCGTCATTAAAGGCATTATTCGGCATGATATTATCTGAAAGTATCGGCTGCGTGTGTGTGGGACTGGGGGAAGAGAAAACAGCGCAATCGAAAGTCGTTCGATCCCCTTCCCGGTGTGACGACTGCCGGTTCAAGATGCGGAATGAATTTTTCTAATTAACTACCAATCGCCCGCAACTCGAAAGAAGAAGCGGCAATGGAAGATGGAGAAAGTGAACTGTCAATAGCTTCGAACAGGGAACTGATCTACAAGTGATGCGGCGCAACCAGCTGAACAACAGATAGCAAATCTATAACCTAAGAACAAACGTGACAGTGTTGTCGTGCTAAAGATTAGGCAACCGATCGCCATGCTGTACGACAGAACCGCAGTGGGCCTTGATCCTCCTAAGCACTCTTCATCAGCGCATAATGTAACGTGAAGAACAAAGTCAGACAATCCCGCAAAAGAATAGCAAATGAAAACAGTGAACTATTAGTATCAATGAGAGCCTGAGAACAGAAGGCAATCGAGACAATGGGTGACGTAAATGGTAGGCAGGCAGCCAAATGTACGCAGATGATATTGCAATAATTATCATCAAAGGTTAAAAAAGTGAACAACAGAATTGCTCAGATTGGTCATTTTTGAAATGGCAGAAAAGAAGTCCCAAATTTACACTAAAAATCATTGGCAGTAGCAGCTAAGAATATATTTCCCGTCACCAGCAGTGTTGTCTTAACGAAATGTCCCTAATTTGGAACTGTCCTATATCACATCTGCTGTCAGCGAACGGATTGCATAGGGGAAACATAATCTTCCTACTCATCTTTTTCATCTTCCATGGCCGCTTCTTTTTTCGTGTCGCAGAGGCAACGAGTCAGACAGTGCTTCCAACGTTCCCGATCCTGTGCCAGAGTCTGAGCTTCGGCAAAAGACAAATGCAGTCTGGAACAGGCTCCTTCCATATATTTGCGCCAGGTTAATCTTGGCCGTCCCCTGCGCATTCTGCCGGTCGGTTTCGCAAGAAACAGTTGTTTAAAAGAGAATCTGAGACTAGCTGACCCTTACTCTTCAATGACTCTCACAACATGTGCACACTGCAACCCGAGAGCCGCCTACTTTCTGTAAATTTTCGATACGAATAGCAGCCGGCCATATGGTGAGTGCAAATTTTCGACTTCGTGTTCTGCATAAGCATCGCCTAAAGGAACCATGTCATTACCGCGTCATGATTGTTCAAGATTCATGCGGTGCCACTTGTCGTTCTTCTCGTATCAGGCAGAGATACTTCAAAATGGCAGCATTGAGTTTTCACTGCAGTAGAAGCAAACTTTGCGGTGGCCATAATAAGGATGTCTGAGCCTTGACAAGTATACTCGTTACAGTGAAAAGCGTACATGTGTAGAAAGACAGTGCCAGATTATTATCTGCTGATAGTATATCCTCTGTAACAATACGAACTTGTTGATCTTTAGCATCACGGAATGAGTTGGTAAGGTATCACGTAAAAGCAATCAAGATTCGCAGTCAACTATACCATTAAACCGAGAAAAAGAGGAAACCAAGAACATGTGCGACGCTTTCTGCAGGCACAAGATTAAAAGTAGAAGC